AGTTAGAGGTAGATGATGGGGTACTGTACCGGAACACCGCCACCAAGAAACAATTGGTTCTGCCAGAGGCTATGAAGTCTAGAGTCTTGAAAGAGTTGCACGACAATATGGGGCATCTGGGCGCCGACAGGGTGTTAGCGCTGGCGGTAGCGGACCGACAGTCTCGCCAACATTTGCTTCTATATCGTGTAGATGTCTCTCTGCGGGATATCCTTGGTCTTCTGCACCAAACTCCCTGTGGAAACTGATACAAGACATCTGTAATCCCATTGGGCTGACCCTTTTCTTTTTGTAGACAAATACGGTGGGAGTTCCAGTACTGCTTGAACTGGTCAAGGCTGTACTGGATGACTTGCAAAAACACATATGCCAAACAGTTCCTGTGGACATTATCTCGCTGGTTAAGAGCAAGAATATTGTAAGTGCAAAATGAATGTTTTGAGATATTCGCATTTTAAATTTTAAAATTCCACAATAAATCATATTGCTCTTTGGTTACTATTTAGATATCTTTCTTTTGATGGCCCACTTGCCAAAAATGCACTTACAATAATTTTGCTCTGCCTAATTTTCGAAAAACCCGAAACAGGTTTAGTGCAATATTATTGTATCTTAAGACAAAAGTACACAAAAATCTCATCCATTTAAGGAACTTTATTGATTTCAACAAAAACACATACCGGTAAACAATTACACAAAAATAGAATTAAGGCTTCTATGTCAGGACTTTTGTCAATTCCCTGAAGTAATAATTATTCAAAAATAAACTCTTTTAGGTAAATGTTCAACTTTATGTAATACACTTAACTTACTTACTTTAACTAATACACTTTAGTACATTTATGCCAACGTTATCATCAGAACGAAGGCCTACTGTGAAATTTGGACCCTATTTGGACGGAAGTTGCTGATAGAAATGCCTGATATCATGAGGTAGATATGTGCACAGCTTGATCAAATCTGCTTTCTTTGAGGCATCAATTGGCAATTTTCGCTTTTGTGATAGCACAACCTTCGCTGTCAACTGACCTACCTCTCTTCCTGTACACTTTTTCAGTTTTCTCTCCACCAATTTCTTTAGAGAAATAGGCAGTTACATCATTCTCCTGTTTAGTATAACAGATATGATGGACAGATATAATGACGTCAAAAGCATTTTGTTTAATTCCCAACTGATTCAAATGATCAAAGTCAAAAATATCATTGTGTGACTTCGACAATAATGTAAGGCTTCTTCCTATTAGCATCATACATGTGCTGAAAGAAGCCACTTGGGGCATGGACATCTTTATGTTTTGTCTGACGCTCAATGCACGAATGCATACTGTCACATTCACTTTGACTATGACCCGATTCGAAATATTTCTGCTCAATCTTTGTAATATTCTTTGCCTTCATAAGAAATCAGATCAGGGCCGCTCGAGGACCCACCAATCCAAATTCGTGGCTACGCCCTTGCATCTCTCAACAACTTGATTTGACAGTTACCACAGACACCCCCCCCCCTGGATCCAACCATATATCTACGAATATATTCATCTATCTAACTACTTATCTGTCCATCTATGTTTCTAAGCACAGCTTGCATTACCGGATAGCCTGTTACCACCAACACGTACACTAATAATTAAATAAATAGTTGTAAATAACATTAATTAAATATTATTTACGGCACAATAAGTAAATATAATGGACATCACATCGTTCTAACGAGAATACTTTTGGTGTGTTGGAAACACGCTCATGGCGTTTCATCATTGGAATATAGTCGGTCACACGTAAATATTTCACAATATCAGAGAGCTGTCTACGAGGAAACGATCCACTTTTTACGCTGTCAGGTAGGAATAGTATTTCTGAACACGAGCCAGCTTCAGGCGTGTACATCAGGCGTAACTCTGCTTCTCCTTGGTACGTGCATGGCTGATAACCACTCAATCGTTGCATGAAAACCTTGTGACGTGTTGATTCTCCGTCTCCTCGGCACGTTCATCTGTTTACAACGAGATGACTGGCACTGGAAAATAAATTATCATGTCTATTGCAACTGAATATGAACAGCTATATTAATACTGCCTGTGGATTATGTACACATAGATTGTTTTTTATTATACACATTGAACAACGAGCAGGTCCGTTGTCCGCGCGATAAATCAATTGATACTGTAGTAACTTACGTCAGGTTCGTTTTACTTCTACTAAGAAAACCAATAGTATAAACAATTTACAGATATGTGAAATATACCTATTCTATTTTAGCTTTTAATGCAACCAGAAACTTACCGATTACTTGATTTGGCCTTTGACTAGATGGGGGCAGCCCTATAGACCGAAGGTCCGATAGACCGAATATTGCAAAGGGTTAGAGTTAGGGTTAGGGCATATATATGGTTTATAGTGGCATCATATGATTTATAGTGGCATTGGTGGATCTGCGGTATATTCACGTTCGAATACGGCATCAGTGGATCTCCGGATGCGTAGCCTGGAGGCTAGGCGACCGATTCCGGACGTGTAGCCACTGCGTATTCGAATAAACCTTCGGTGTATCGGGCCTTCGGTCTATCGGACCTTCGGTCTATAGGGCTGTAACCGACTAGATAGCCAGACAAAGTGTAAACACGTCAAAGAAAACTCGTATCAATAATGATCGCAATGCCGTGGCTATGAGTTAATTAGTTACTTGTAAATATGGTACTATTCACTCTATTAGGATTTGATGTTGATTCCTCCATATTCTCTGCTTCCTTGCGTTGTCCTAGAGATTGTAACAACCCTATAGAACCAAACAAAACAATAGTATCAATAATAACAAGCACCTAATGACAAGAGCCTTACAATTATATGTAAAAATATACATTGACAAGCACCATGTTGCCAAGTTCCAGGACTGTCAATATTTGGTATGTGAGGAGGGGATATGATGATAATGGGGGGGGGATGAATGCGGGAGGAGTTAGAGAATGACAGGAAAAAGTAGTGGATACAGGATAAGGTAAAGGAGGCTGGGTGAAGGTGGTATAGGAGGAGGGTTAGGGGGAGGTAGATAAGATGGAGAAGATGGTGGAGGATGGAGGAGGCAGAGGAGTGGAGGTGGTCGAGGAGGGGGAAGAAGATCGAAGAGGAGTGGAGAAGGTGGCGGAAGAAGAGTGAGAGAACGTAGATGGAGGCACAGGGGGAATGGAGAAGGAGGTAAAGGCTCAATGAGTGGAGGTGTTTAAGGATGGAGGAGCATCCGGAAAAGAATTGGTTGAGGAATGAGGAGATATAGTAAGAGGAAGATAGGATGTTTGTGCGAAATTATTCCCTCATCTTCCTTCAGTATTTACCATCTCCTCACTCCACCACGGTTCTCTCGATTTTCTACCCCTCTTTCCTCCACCAACGTCCGTATCTAATTTACCCTGCGACTTACGTTCGGGAGGTGGCGGACGAGCTGTGTCAAAATATTTCCACATAACAAATTTGATGTTAGCCACACACACACACACACACACACACACACACACACACACACACACACACACACACACACACACACACACACACACACACACACACACAC